TTTCATGCCCAAATCAGTTTGAAGTACAAGCCCGTTAACAAAAGAAAATTCTCATTTGAAATAAAATACCCTCAAAATAAATGTATCATTGCACACATTTTAGGCATAAACAGGATCATGACATAAAATGCATAATAATGAATGCTTGCATGTTCTCTTAAAAGAAAGGACAGAGATATAAAGACCTAACATAGAAATAACCAATCTGGATTTCCATGTTTGGTCGTGGCAAGACAAGCTTCCGCAAGAGAAATCTCTTTCAAAAATTATCATCCCAAGTCTTTCAGGTATGATGTTTTTGAATCCTCAAACACATACTAACAAAGGTTAATGTTTAATTTTCAGGTTCGATCCCGATTCAATGGATCAATTCCTTTAGATCTGATATTCCCTTCAGAGTAAGTGGAACAGGTCTCTTTTATCCAAGATTTGATATTCCCTTCAGAGTAAGTGGAACAAGTCTATCCTGATTCAATGGATCAACTCCCCCAGATATGATATTCCCTTCAGAGTAAGCGGAACATGACTCTTTTTTCTAAGATTTGATATTCCCTTCAGAGTAAGCGGAACAAGTCTGCTTCGATTCAATGGATCAACTTCCCCAGATCTGATAATCCCTTCAGAGTAAGTGGAACAGGTCTCTCTTCTCAAAGATTTGATATTCCCTTCAGAGTAAGCGGAACAAATCTCTCTTCTTCAAGATTTGATATTCCTTGAGTGACAGCGGAACAAGTCTACCCTGATTCAATCTTCCCTGAAGAACGGTGAAGTGAATCAACATCCCAGATCTGAGATTACCTGAGTGGCAGCAGAACAGAACCCTCATCATATCTCAAATATTGAAGTTAAATGGATGAAAAATGCATTGTCTCTTCATCTTTACCCTATTCTTGTTAACACAAGAATGGACAAAGAGGGGCAACTGTCGACACTCGATTTTTCATCCTGTTCTTCTTCTTATTATTATATTCATTATTATTAATAATAATATTATTATTTTACATATTTTGCAGCACCCCATGTGAAGCACTACCAATTGAGTAGACCCATGTCTTATCAACATTTCATCTACCCCAATTCAACAACTCCAACTACACGCAGGATTGAAAATGAGGGGATTAAAAAAGGGGAATAGAAGAAAATGAGAGAAAGTTGCCACTACTCATGCCTCCCACGTGAAGCTAGTAACGCATGCCATTCTCCCCACCAAATCTGCACCCAATAGCAAACAAAAAATCAAAATATCATCAGCGTCAACCAAAGTCAGAAGAAAAAGAAAGCAATTTAATCCCGAAAATTTTGGGATTTCACTTTACCTGCTCTAATCAAAGTCTCACCAAAATGAAGAAAATCAACATGCAACGACAAATGAATTTGGTGAAGAAAATAGAGATAAAATAGGAGGGAGATTCAGAAAGAAAAGAAAATCAGTGTAATAGGAATATCAATATTGTATTAAAAAGCCGAGAAAGCAATAGAAATACCAGGGATTCGAGGTATTATTATTTGGTTTTCTCTTTATTTTCCAGTTTCTTTTTATATGCATGTTTGTATTATTTGTAACACAAAAAAAAATTAGTGTAAGTTTGTTCATTTCCCTCGATTAAAAGAACAGAACCCAAATGTTCTTCCCGAATCTTCAATAAAAAATAATCCATGTAAGAGTTTTTTTTATTTCAGAAAAATAAAGCAATACAAAGATTTTTAATTCACTTATTCACAACACAGTGCTAACACAATATTTTCTTTAAACATTGTTTTTTTTATTTTTCTTAAAATCAACAAAGTCATATCAATTTTCATTCTTAATAAATATATTATGTAAAGAATAGGGAGATATCATTTACCTTCAAAAAAAAAAGAAAAAAAAGGAGTCTCGAGTGAACCCTTGCATGTTCGATTTAAGGCTCGATCTGAGTGTTCTAGTGTAATCGAGAGTCGTTGTTGTTACTGACTACTGGAAATAGGAGGAGTTAGATTAATCATGAAAAAAATTGAAACTTAAAAAATAAAAAAAAAAGTAAGGAGAATGATGGGATCGTTAGGTATGGTAGCCGGATATAGGGCTTGGGGCTTTGAACGATGATGGTAGCTTAAGTGAGATCGTGCGAGCTTGGGAAGCTTTGGAATCTCTTTAGTGTTCTTGACCGAACAAGTGAAAGAGGGAAGATGAAGAAGGAAAGAAGCTGCACAGGGGAAAACTTTAAAATAAAAAAAGGGAAATAGAATAAAGCTAGGGTTTAGTTTATGTTTAAAATAATATATATATATTTATTCGTCAAAACAGAATTGTTTCAATAGTTGTAAAGCTGTGTTTTACATAGGGAGGGGTAAATGCTTTGGCTAAACCTTTGAGATTTGAATCATTCAACTTGGGTCCTTAAGTTTTTTAGTTTCTGGTTGTAGCTCCTAACTTTCATGCAAATTTCATTTCGGTCCCTAATTGGAAGTTTATATATTTATAATTTTATCTCTGTACGTTATGCGCATTAAATTTTAGTCCCTTATATATTTTATTTTATTTTAATTTTGGCATATTATTTTAATAACTTATATTTTAATTCTATTTTTATTCTAATTTTGCTTATGTTGATTGCATTTGAATTCATTTTAGTCCTGATAAGTATTGCATGATACCCTCATCAGCACCACTGGACTCGAGTCAAAATAAATTGATTAAGGGTAATATTCGAGCATTTTAATATTTTTGTAAAGTAACTGTCTTAACGGATAAGAAAGTTACTTTCGATAATTTTAAAATGAAAATCTATCCCGTCAAGTGACATCACTTAAATCGAATCCATTTTATAAAATTTGGAGATTGAGGAAAAGATTGTATTCTTTTAATTAAATTCATCGAGAAAAGACAGTTAGATCGAATCTATGGTCTCGTCTCTTGATATTTAATTAATTGAATATCCTTATTCTCATTAAATATTGGTAAAAATAAATAACTAATCAATTGCTTGATAGTTTTTTTTACTTTTGTATGTGTTTTCAAAGGGTTTTCGAAATAATGTTCGATCATAAATAATTAAATATTTTTATTTTATCTCTAAAAATGATTTTGGGTGTTATTATTTTGAAATTTAGAATGAAATTTTAATATTTCTTTATTTTGATTGGAGTAAGAATTGATTGATTCAAGGTATGATAGATCAGTTCTTCTCGATTGGAAATAATTTAGTATTCTTATATTTCATCCAAAATTTAAAAAATATTATTTTAGGGGATCTTAAATTAAATTAGACTTGAATTTGTATATTTTATTGCAAAGACAATTAATTAATTAACTAGGTACCGATTTAGGGCGTTGTGGGGGTGCTAATCCTTCCCCACACGTAACCGACTCCCGAACTCAATTTTTGGTAATGCAGACCACAATATTGTCTTTTTAATTAAAATTAATATTTTATTAAAATGACAAATATATTTTTTTGGGTGCCCAATCACACCCTAATCAAATATTGGTGGCGACTCTTCGAACCATATTTTTCTATCGTAAAGGAATTGCCAAATTTTCAAAATGAGAGATTTTTTTTAAATCACATTTATTTTTTTAAATTAAAAATTAATCAAGAGAAATAAATTAAAAATGTGTGGTTTTCAAAATCTCATCCCGAAAAAAAAACCGTTTCGACAACCTCTTTATTGCATTGATTTTGCATATTTCATTTATGCTCTACATCACCTAAATTTAATATCATGTAGTTTTATCTAATTAACAATCATAAATTTTAAGACACAAATTATGCAGAAAAATACTTATAAACATTAAAATTAAATGTAATGTAGTTTGATGTTGTTCTCTACAATTTAGTCCAGGTTCTTTCACTTTCAATTGAAAAAAATATTGTTCACTAAAATTTAGTTTTCATTGTAAGCTTCATCTGTTTCACCAAATAAATCCCCTAGCTCCGGTTCACCAAGAAGACTCCTTGCGCGCTTCAGTGCTTCACTTGAAACAGATAATGACCTTCTACCTTCAGTATGAAACTTGATTAGAGGTGGCTTGAGAACTGAATCAAACATTAAACAAAAAAAAATTAAAGAAAAAGAGCTAAGTGGTTTAGTGGTGTCTTTATGCGGTGTGACACAAGGTTCCACTCTCTCGGTCCATATTATTTCACGTATGCACACAACAAAGCGTCTTCTTCAGCTCTCCAACGGTGTCTCTCCTTCATTTCCAGGGTTAAACACCACTTCCCATCGCTCTACAATCCTCATAATGTATCTGCAATAAAATCAGTAAGTTCAACCATCACTTTGCTAATACCAAACCGGTAATAGACTGATAAAACAGTAAGAAACTAATAACACGGAACAAGATGACACTAGTAAATTAAAGGTAAACTTATAACATCATAGCACATAAGAGTAATAAACCGGACACCATGAATCGATTGTTGTATAATAAGAAGTTTCCCAGCAAAAGATATTTATCATGTAAATATGGTAGGGCAGAGAGAGAGATTATCTTCTGAGATGTACCTCTTAACTTTAGTCAATCATTTCAAAAGTATTAGTCACTGTATCAGTCACTTTCACATGCCTGTATTCCCACCATTTTCTTCATAAACATAAAAAAAAATTCAACACACATGTAAAATCAGAAGCAATCAATCAATCAATCAATCAAGATTCAAGAAACGATAATGTGATTAAAAGGTTAATATAGTTAAATTACATTTCTTTTCAACATGTATCTTCACCAAAATCACATATCAAAGTGATTAACACATCCTTGGGTTTCTCAAACTCAAATTCAAGCACAACTCCCTTAATATGCACACGGTAAGTCTGGGGTGGTTTCTACCGACAAGCTACATGGACATAAGAAAAGGAGAGAGGAGACCGCTAAATAAAAGGGCAAATTCCACAATAGATGCGCATAGATGGAAATGAAACCATTGGGTTTTAAAATCTCACATCAATAAAAGTGTTACTAACATAGAACTAAATCAGCTTCTCAAAATTTATTGACCAAAACATTTAAAGAAGCATCAGGGTAAACAAGAAAAACCTTTCCAGAGTAACAATGCACATATCACATTCCTCTAGACTGCTACAACATGCGAAAATGACTGACAGAAATTTGTGATCAACAAAATGATAAGGTACCATTTCCATCTCACTTCCATCTGAGGGACCGCCTAATGCCTGTATAGATGAGTCCCAATGACCTCCCAATCAAGCAAACTAGAAAAAATGAGATGGCATTGCTAACTTTGTCGATGACAGCTCTAACCATGGGCAGGCTAATGTCAGATAACTCGAGGACCAGACTGAAATAGTATCTCCTGTAATAAGCAAAGAGACAATTTGGTTAAAACCTATATCCAAGTTTATAAACATTATGAATCAGAAATATATGAAACCTGTTCATGGTATTCAGTTGGCTGCTCTAAATGAAGAAATCTTTGTGTATATTTAACCAATCATTACTATTATATTTACTAATTCATTAAATATTCATATAAAAAAGATTTGAACAACCTTAGTTATTTGATTGTGCATCTTCTTTCCCTAAAATCCATACCTTAACTTTAGAAAGAACTATTGTTTTGTGAATTTTTGGTAAGAGTGGAATAGACCTCGGGTGCTGCAATTCCCCGATGCCATTTTACAGTTTTACAGGGAGTCACAAGGTTTTCAATATTAACTTAGCATAGATGGAACAGATCAAACTGAGGAAGTTAATGTTCCATTACAGGTGCAAAACCTAACTCTGCTCCCCAGGAAGTTCAGACTTTTCTTTGGGCTAAGGCTTTAAAATAAAATCCATGTACATAAATGCAGATGACCACGCTGATACCACAGTAGCAAGATAAATTTCTATATTCATGAATCTATGGCAGTATACTTTCATCAAGGCTACAGCCTTTTCCACCATCTAAAAACAATCGTTATTTGATGCAATCCTACTGCAGTTGTCCTTATTAATCAACATCATGAAACTTTCTCAAACAGCACTCCCTAAGAGGCCAAGTATTAATGAATAATGAAATCACTTCCAAAAATATTTTTTATCCACACCATGAATCCACTCCACCAAAGCATGTTTGGTTTCACAGTTTCTATAATTGTAAACTATCTCAGATAATAAAAGATCTACAAGCATGAATCCCCCGCGGTAGATCTAATTTTTAAGTGCTCCAGGACAATTATATAGGAGGGGCATATCCACGCCAAATAAATTGAAGAAGACAATAGTATGAACTACATGTGCCACAACATTTCTTTGTTTCCAAGTATCTAACCAATTTCAGTGTTGTTCCAAGATAATCTAAATCTACTAAAATTCTGTCAATAACACTAGATGCAAGCAAAGAAAATTATTTATAGGTGAAAGGTTGTGGAAAACATACCACCCTGTCAGGGCTCTTAATTCCTTGGTGCGTTTTACAGACATAGAGAAATTACTTATCACAACATACTGCAATGAAGTAGGTGCACTTTCATATTTTCTTAGCATAAGCTTCTCCCACCAACTATATGTTTCAGCACAATCACTACCGTTTTCCTCAATGAGCTGGCTCTTAAGTGTGTAGAGGTCAAAGCGATCCTCGTACATTGATACAATAGCCTCCAGATTTTGATACAACCACTGGTTTAATGGAACAGTCGTCCACATTTCAAAGCGATCCTCATACATTGATACAATAGCCTCCAGATTTTGATACAACCACTGGTTTAATGGAACAGTCGTCCACATACAGGCAGTGATGACAATCATTATTGGAGACAGCAAAACAATGCGCCAAAAAAGATGATATATGGTACAATAATTGACAAAAAAAACTCATACCCAGGACTGTATTTGAAATGAAAAGGGAAAAGCCAACAAAATTCATAAAAAAATATAATTTGAAACGAGAACATAATCCCAGAGCAAGGTTTTCTTCTCTTATAATTTACTAACAACGACAAAGGGATTAAAAACTTAATAGAACAAACTCACCATATTGTGTTTGGTTCAAGTGCCCGAATTCAAACTCTGTGTTTGGTTCAGTAATTCGAGGTATCAGTCCATACCTGGAAAGCGTCTTCTTAATCTGCAGCTATGGTCTGAAGTACCTGGAAGCCATAAATGTTGAAGACCCTTCTAATACCCATCTTAATCTGCAGGTATCAGTCCTTGCACACAGTAGTGATAGGTGAAGGGACAATTCCATTTGAAGTTCAAATTCGAAGGAAGGAGATGCATTTGCAAGCTGAAGACCCCGTATGATCTCGTAAAATACCCCCAATACGAAAGCAATTACTTTGTAAACCTAATTCACTAAAATGAAGCATAAAACTTTCATTTTTTAGAGAACCCAAAGTCTGAAACCTATTTGAAATTGCGTGAAATGTACTACTAATATGATACCTGGAAATTAAAAAATTCAAAAGGATTCAATTAACAAGAAAGAAAATGAGAAGAGAGGAACCTGAGAGGATTACAGCAAGTGAGGGAATTAGATGACCAAATAGGGGCTGAAGGGTGAAGTGAAGGACTATCACCACCAAGCATTGTAATGTCGTCTAACAAACCATAATAATCAAACATCCATGGGTTGGGGGGGTTTTCGAGGAAGAATTAGGGAAGATAAAGAAGAAGAGGTTCAAAAGAATTAGGGATTGGCCAGGAGAAAGTGGGGAAATATAATTATCCTTTTGCGGTAAAAAAGCCACTAATGTACGTGATTTTGCGACGTTTTGATAACAAACGCTACTATTGTACAACTCTATAGCGGCGTTTTTCCAAAACGTCAGTAATGCATGCGTTTATACCGGCATTTTTAATAAAACGCCAGTAAAGTACGAGATTTTAGCGGCGTTTTTACAAAAACACCACAATATATCTGGCTATCGCGGCGTTTTTATATAAACGCCACTAAAGTACGTGTTTTAGTGGCATTTTCCCAAAAACGCCACTATATATTTAGATATTGCGGCGTTTGTCCAAAAAACTCCGATATATGTAAAACAAATTACCGGCGCTTTCTATAAAAACGCCGCTACAACCGTCGCTAAAAACCAGATTTGTTGTAGTGAGTGTTTTTATATTTTTTTAAAAAAATTATTTTAAGCTCTATACCCGAGCTCCAAACCCATTTAAGTAAGGGTAAAAACAATGTCTTCGTGAAAATTTATTCTTCGTGCCAAACCTAGCAATTAGCCCTCGTGATTCATATATCTTATGTCTTCATAGGAATTTATTCCTCGTGTCAGACATAAGGGAATGTGTCCTCTCGAGTTTAACTCGTTCCGCATTAGCCTGTGATGGGTTTAGAATTGAGGATCTAACATGCCCAAGGGGGCACCGACAAGGAGAACTCTTGTCCTTTTTATAGAACCAAGCCTTGTTGTGGTGCGGCATTAGATCCTACCCCAAAACCATATGAAAACCCTAGGATGATTGTTTATTTATTCTTCCAAGCATGCGAAATAAAAATTCACACGGTTAGAATTTTTTCTATCAGAAAACATGCGGGATAGAAAATCATGACCGTGTACCTTTAAATGTTTTTGGTCTCATTATAATAACACTTTTATCCTGATGAAGGTTATTTATTGTGTTAGACACTTTTTTGGATTAATGCTTCAAAACTCCTATACATTCATCATGCATTATTACATTATTCTAAACATGCATTCACTATTAAAACATAAAGAGCTTATAAACTTATTTTATCTTAAAATGAAAAAGCACTGGATATACCGCATCCTTATAACAATCGGTTCAAAGCACGAAAAATGAGAGTCATGTTGAAAGAAATTGAAGACAATTTCGCTAAGCAACAAAAGGATCTAGAAGATAGGATAAGCCAAAGCCACAAGAACACCATGGACACCATCACAAAGAACCATAGTAGCTTGGTTGACCAGATCGTAGCTAGGCTGTCAGGGCTAAACCTTGATAACATCCCTAGGGCAGGGACATCTGAAGGAGTAAAGGAGAAAACATATCCTAAGCTAGTTATTGCGCTCGAAATTTTCCAAGGTTACCCAGGAAACACTTCTACCATGAAAGCACCAACCTTTATGACAATCCTCATGAACAATCCTGAGGATTATCATATCCCGGACTTCGACAAAGAGGATAAGGCAAAAATGATGGAGGACAAAATCAAATATTTAGAAGACCAAATAAATACTGTGAAGGAAGAAGATAGTTTATACGGGGTAGATGCAATTGAGCTAAGCTTGGTCTCAGATCTCATATTTCCTCTAAAGTTTTAAGTATCGGACTTCGAGAAATTTGATAGAAACAACTACCTATTTGTCCAGATAACCATGTTCTGTTGAAAAATACTAGGACATATGAGGAATGACCAACTCCTTATCCACTACTTTCATTAGAGCTTATCAGGTTCAATTATTCAGTGGTACAATTAGCTTAACAGGGTTCATGGAACAATACAAACATGTGAGTGACAAGGGACCTAATCAAGTAAATTTGCAAAGCATGGAAATGAAGTTTAAGGGTTAAACGAAAATTTAGTTTTTTTATTAACATGTTACACTAACAACTTAACGACATTCAATGTCTTAATAACTAAAACTTAATAAAACAATAACCAAAGTGACCAAAATTTAATGTTATTAAATTTGATGAGTGCAAGTGTACAAAAACAAAAAGATAAGTGATCATTTATGTTGTTTACCCTTTATTTTAGAATGTCGTCTCAGTAACAAAATTTTAATAAAGCGATAACGTAAGTGACCAAAATTTAATGTTATTGAATTTGGTGAGTATAAGTGTACAAAAATAAAAGATAAGTGATCATTCATCTAATTTATCCATTATTTTAAAATAATTTAATGGGCAATTTTATACCTTAACCAAATAATACCTAATTCAATTTTTAAACCTTACGTTTTATATTTTTTTAACAAAGAGAATTGGATTTCATTAATAAAAATAATGAAATGAATCAGAATTATAACGCCCTAAGCATAGAGAGAAAATAGGATAATAGTCACAAAAAATCATACAAAAAATTAAACCCAAAGATATAAAGAAAAATGAAACATTTCAGAATGATGACCAGCATCAAAAGAACTCAATGACCTATATAAAAACTCCTTTTCTTTGTCGAACAAGACATTTTACGAAGTTATAAAAGAGAAGTGAGTGAACTAAACTATATGTTAGATTGCTTCGCTACACAATTCTAATATATCAACAAACAAAATTTTATCAAAGAGAGAATCTGACTATATGTAACCATCAACGAACCAATCATAAAAAAAATATTGTAACACCCTAAACCCGATTGGGCCTAAATTGCCACAATAGGTTGCCAGGGTAACCCATGATTTTCAAAACCTATTCGTTTTCTTTTCAAACATGTTGAATGGTATCATAAATGAAACATAAATAACTATTATAAAAATATTTTATAAACCAGAGCTCCATGATACATAATTTAAAACCAAATTATACATCTTAAGGTTTACAAATCAAATGCATAAATAAGGTTCCATGAATACACATGCCCACAAAAGCTACAAATAGTACTCTGAAGGAGATGCTGGAAGTCTTGCTATGACGGTGCTCAACGAACGGCCCAAGCTAGAAACTTGCTAAAGGAAAACATCCGAAGGTTGAACTTACAAAGCTAAGTAGTATAATCGTTAATCTATAGCAGCATTAAGAGTTCCATAAATAAAAGCATGCTAAAGACAATGTATTAAGTAGTAGGTACATGCATGATCCTAATCAAGTGCTATATACTTAAGGTTCAACGATTCTATCTCTTACTGTAAGCCTTGTCCTTCCCTTAATCTCTACTAAGGGCCTTGCTATGAGTAAACGTATACTAGATCTCTAACCTTAGTATCATGCTACTAATAACTATGCAATACTATACATTCTTTTAATGGACATGATGGTGTATGAAGTCATGTGTGTACAAACATATAACAATCAAACATTAGGTAGGTCTAATGGTGTGGTCAGAGGAATTTTTTGTATCTCAGGACAACACACTAGCTTACCTTGAATACTCGAGAGTCTTGAGGTAAAAACCAAAATTTTACGTGCATCAAAAACTTACATCCTTAGCCTACCTGTAGGCTTTCGAGCCTCGGGGTCCGAACCAGAATTTTACGTACATCAAAAGCTTACACCTCTAGCCCACATATAGGTTCTCGAGCATTGGGCGCAATTTAAAATTTTACGTATATCGGATACATACCCGGCCAACTTACTCCATTGAGTCTTGAGGCATTCATACCTAGGTGGCAACTGAAGTGCCTAAAGAACTAAAAAACTATCTCTAGATATTACATCATAAAGGATGATTGTCATACTGCTAAAGTAACTCTGGTGTCCTAGCTGTTTCCCAAGCGTCACACAATAGCTAGTTTTATGAAGTTTTACCTTATAAGTTTCTTATGATTATCACACATAGTATTATTATCTTATTTCTATTTTGTCTTTATTACCAAGATTTCTTATAGAGCTAACATTTTGACACATAAACACACGTCAACTAATGCCACGCAAGGGTAATCAGAGTAGCCTGACTACTCCCTACCGAACTTATTAGGTTAGGTGAGTTCATCCCCTCACTCGACGTTATCTCACTCGTTCTATCATATAAAATAATATACAAGGGTTTATTAATATGTTTTTGTTGTTATTTATTAAGTTGCTCTATCTTGGTCATTCGTTACTTAAGGGTGTTATAGTTATTCTCTGCCCCTAGCAAAGTATCTACGCGTTTTGAAGTTTTTGGTAATTTATGTGGTTGTTGT